TTTAAACAAATTCTAAACAAATAAACCTCTAATCTACTAATCTAGAACTAATTTATTCTTAAAGAAAGTCTAAAAATATTAGATACAACATTGCTCTTGTGAAAAGAAGACTTATAAGTTTCCTAAATTTAAAAATTAAAAACTTAACGTTCCAATTGTCTGCACTTATTCATAGTTTCATATCTTTAAGTATCAATTGGCAAGCACAATGTAGAAAAAATTATTTCTTCAAATCTTATTGCAAAATTCTAATTGGCACCTCCCTTTGAAATGTACAATAAACTATACAAACCTACATCCTTCATTTCATTGAGCCAAATATTACTGCACACTTTGGCCGTTCTTTTTCTCTGCAAGGAGACCTTGTTCTCCTGCATTTCTCAACTTCTCCAGAAAAAATGTCTGTTTTGTTACGTAAGAGCCCATTTAGAACAATCCTCAAGGCCACCACTAAACCGCTTTGCATTCAAACATGTGACACAAGGCCAACTTCTGACTGAAACAAACGCTTCAAAAACAAAGTTATTTGGGATTCAATGATTTTCTACGTCTTCCCCTGAACCTCTCGCTCATTGCAGGCACTCTAAACCATGCAGCATATAATGCTAGCCCAAGCTATCCTTTTCCGTAGGATTGCCTGATATTTCACTCTGTGAATCTATAAACTCAGGAGCCTCAGCTATTTCGGGCTTGTGTGCAAAATCCATTCTGATTGATGGCCTTGGCAACAGCAGCAGCAAGGAATTTTTCCTAACATGCAAGAAATGGTGGAGTCCTTCAGTGAACAACTCGCAATCTTCGAATCAAAAAACACTATAAGATTGCAGGAACGGAGAATCCGTAGCGGGACACAATCAAGGAAATGGAAGCAAAAGTTATATTTTTCCCTCTTATTGCTCTCAGACAGACAGACAACTTACGGGAATGTAACCATGGTCATCCACATTGCTACCAACGTCTTTGGTTATCAGCCCAACTGCTTCGAGGTCATCAGGAGAGGTAATCGGAGAGACAGCTTCAGTTGTGTCTACCCATAAACGATCAATGGCTTCACAATGTCAAGTGTCACGGAGCTAGTCATCGGAGCGCTGGGAGGTTGCAGTCCATCTAGGAAAGAAGAATGAAAAATACTCACATGACTCGCCTCATGCAACTGTATTACTAACTCATGATTCCCAGGAGTAGTTCCTACAAAAATCTTTTCTTATACATCAGTAGAATGTAAGCTTCCACACATACTCCTGTTTGTACGCCTCATCCTTGCGAAACCAACAGCAAGGAAGTCCTTCTGACACTATCCACAAATGTTATATTCATTATCCTCTAAGGCTTGATCAATGCGGTCAATGCTGGAGTTCCACCCATGTACGGCTTGGGGTGTAAGCTTAATAAGCTGACTCTAGCTATCATTTGTCGGCGACTATTCTGTTTCACTTCCTTTTACAATCGTGCTAATCGCAAATTTTGTTGGCTCTTTTTTATTAAAAAAATCAGTGGTCACCTCTTCCGATAAAGACTCTGGATTTGAAGATCGGAGCTGGATGCGGAACTCGATGATGATCCAATTGAAAAAAGAAGGGCGTCATAAGATGATGCATCCAACGCTACGTTCGATTTCAACAGCAGTGAAAACTCGTGACGCATAGCTGAGCAATGAGCAATAGAACAACTAACTCTGCTCCACGTTGGAAAATTGGAACAAATACCACGGCTCAACTTTCTCCCCCAAACAGAGTTGAATGACTCCCCCCCCCCCACCCCAAGCAAGACAACGAGATGCACACACCATCAACAACCCCAGGGAAAACAAAACTTTTACTGGCCAAAAATTCCCAGGGAATTTTTGGGGGAACCAGAAAACCCCCGCCTTTAATAAGAAAAATGGCCCCGCCCCCGGGGCTGGTGAAAAACTTCCCTCTTCCCCGGGAGGGAGAATTAAAAAAAGGTTCCGCAACCGGGGAATTTTTGAAGGAGGGGCCTAAAATGGGGGAGGCACTGGTCCCTTTTTCAACAAAAACTGGACTTTGGGGGGTGGGGAAAGGGAAAGAATCTTGGGGGCCCTCTCCTAATTTCTAAAAATGGGATTTCCCGACTTCCTAAAGCATTTTGGGATTTTTGCCACACAAACCTGGCCCAAAAGCCTCCCCCATTGGGGAAAACCCGCATGGGGTTGTACCACATGAATTGGGGGTTTTTAACAGGGGCTCCTCCCCCAAGGGCTTTTGGCTGTACCGGACCGGGGGCCCTG